CTAACTAACTAACTAACTAATAACTTTGTTATTATTCATCTTTATCACGCTACACGAACCCATCGATCCACATACATATATGCGTGTAAGCTTACATCAAATTACAATACCGATGCCGTGAAAATGAATTGATCTTTCTTTTCATGACTTTTACGACAAACTACTTAAGTTTCTATTTTAACCTTGCCTCGAGACCATACCAAAGACCGCACACATATATGCATGCTTATGTGAACCTACGGTAAACACATACACTTGTGTTTATGTTTATTTGAAGAGACAATTTGTTATGTTATTTGTCATGTACTGACTCGAATATTTCAATTTTTCAACTCACATTTTATTACCTATCACTTGCTAACAAAGATTTTTTTAATTTATTGATTTCTTCCTACACCCATCACAGGCAGACGGTGTACTAATTACGTTATATGGTTTGTAAGATCGACAATCATGCATCGGAGCCGATACAAAGTGTAAATGAAAAAAACGCGAGACTCTTTGTTAACTTCGCAAGATCCCACCAAACACCTATTTGCTGTGGGAACTTGCGGGAGCACTGCATGTTTAACTTAAAATTCATTATATTCCCTGTTGAAAGTGTTTTGTCGATGTTCGATATTTGAATATAACGAAGCAATTTCTCAAGGCCCTGAAGCAATAGATAATAGATAAAATGCGGATCATACATGCGACGAAAACCCAATGTACAAAAAACACTGCAAAAATTAAAATTCAATATATATAAAATAAAAAAAGAGTAAACGAAGACAATGCCTTTTAAATTGCCCCTACCTATCCGTCCAGGTGGACGAGCATGATGGCACGATCGCGATCGTGTTCGCACTTTAAAACTTTAGTCTTCGAATTTATTTCTTGGACTAAATTAATTACAATAACAATAATAATCTTAGTGAACATAACTCACTTATAGTCTATGGCTTGATGCATGGCCTGCCTATATGACATAGAGATATGGCCGATTGCCACACGCTTACTTATGCCAATCTGTTGAACTTGTTAACCCGTAGAATCGTTTCGCTAGCCGTTAACTGGATTTCAGTTTTCTGTGTCAATTTTTGCACCCCTAACACAGACAGACAGAGACAAGAACAAATGGGCGTACAACCAACCTTAATAAGTATATCCGCGCGCAACAAACGATATGATCAAACTAGTACACTCCCGGCTTTCGATGGGCGTAGCAAGTAAGCGGAGATAGTCGTAAAGCTCTATCGCTTCATATGAATAACTTAAGCTTCTATTTATGGCAAAATTACACCTCCTCAAATTTTTAAATTTCTCTCTCTTAGGCATCAACGAAAAGTAAGTGTATGCTAATTTTTTTCGCTACGTGTAGGTAGACATTTTTAAAGTCAAAGTATTTCTGTAATCGCTTTGTCTGTCTGTTGCTTAAATCATTATAAAGAGGAAAGTTTTCAGTTTTTGCACATATAACCAAAACCAAGCCGAAATTGCTATATATATTAAATTTTGATATGTTTGCTTAGCAGACCTTAGCAACTTCGAATGGGATTCTTTTGCAATTTTCGTTACGTTCCATATGGACGTGAAAGGTGTGAAGTTCGTATTAAAAATTATTTGGAAACAAGTCTCACTCCTGTCATTATCGTTATTTCCAAAATTTATTCATTTACTCAGCAGATGTTAGACTAACTTCAGAGACCTTATGGCATGCATTCTTGCTTGTTCTTAAGCTAATGCTAACAAAGCTAATGAATGTAATTTTAACATACGCGGTTTTTTTGACAAGAAATTTCCTAAGAATATCTTTCAGCAGCAATTAAAGACGATAACTAAACGTGTAGCTACCAATATAGACAGTAGATATTTTTCTTCTACTGGGATGCGGAAAAAGATCCGTTCAATTCAGGAGAATGAAACAAACGATTCCCTCAAAGAGTGCATTCCATCCCACTTGGGGGATCTTCTCTATAAATATAGATACGGTAGTGATGAGGAAGGATTGTCTGCAGAGCACTGTAGCAATAGTTCCATGTCTTGAAGCGAACTCTAACTTCGTCTTATTACTTTTATTGCGTTCTTAACAGAAGCAATCGAAATAATGATTTATTGATCCGATTGATCGATTCGTTACTTGCGTGTCATAAGTGATGGATTTATTTTCATTTTTTTTTTTTGTAATTTTAACCGTCATTGCAGAGAACAGAATATTAACATGATCGCATCGAATATCAAGAACAGAAAAGGGCCCACGTTGCTATCTTTATCTCATAACGGATTTCAAAGACCTTAAGAAGATATTGAAACTTAGGAAACTATTGAAAAGTGCTTTAGATGTGAAAATTTTTCTTCTTTTAAATTCAGAAAAGAAAGCACAAAAACCGTAAGAAAAGCATGCTTGTAATTCGACTTTTATTATTTGTGTAAATATTTCTTGACACTGAACAAAAGTCTTATTTAAAAATTTTATGGTTTTTTATTTACTTATTTCTTTCTTAATAACTCTTAATACCTTAAAATGAACTTGCTTCAAACATAGAAGAAAAAAAGAAGAAAACAAAGAAAAAACGCCTTTGAAATATGTTTAAATAATAAACTTGAGCTTAGAGAAGATCAATGGCCACTAATTGATTTCAAATTCATAATATCCGCATCAAAAAAAAAAAAAAAAAAAAAAAATGAAATTGAAAATATTACGACATAAGCCTACTCCGGCATACGTTAACACTAATGCAAAGATATTTACTTAAAAAAAATGCATTCGAGTGAAGGGAAAATATGATGACCTCTTAAAGAGTTAATTTTTCATCAAGTTTCTCTTGCTTACTAGCAAAGAAGCTGTTGACCTTTCTATACTTGCCCATGGGCACGAAGGTCAAGGTGTTCTTACTTACTATTCTTCATCCAATGATGGTACGAAGTCTACTTTTTGTTCATTTCTTACCAATGCAATAAACCAAATAAGAAAAACAATTAAAAATTGCTACCTAACTTCGACAGGCAAACATACGAAAAATGGCGCTTATCTTGTGCCCACAACTCTTGAAAAATTCAAATTTTCCACGGAAAAAATCTCCTGCAAGCACTTCTGGAATTTTTAGGCGACAACTTTTTTCTAAAAGGAAAAAATTCTTAACACTCCTGAGCAAATTGACAGCGACAGTAAACATATTGAAGCTTGAACGTCGAACGCATCCATGGTGTAAAATTTATGAAATAGAGAAGTAATGGTCGGGTAATTTTTAAAGCATAAAGAAGCAACGAAATTAAAATTTTAGTGGCCATTACAAGGCCTTTTGCCCCGACAGTGTTAATGAATTTAGAAAGACAAGACGTACGACCCAATATTGCGAAAACGAACCAAGGTAGCCATTTATTACTTCATAAGAAACTCCGCTCTACAGTTAACTCCTCAATTGAAAAACTCGAGTATAAATGAAATCTTTAAACCCAACATTAACTATATAACAGCATTAATGTAGAATAAACACAACGCAACCAATAAGTAATACCGATTTTCCGAAATCACAACACATTCTTAGTCGATTTAAGTTCGCTCAATAAACACATCAGTAGCTTATGAAACGACTTACTGGAAAGGGAAAATCGCAATTGAACTATGTTCTAACCACCTTCGGGGTAAAATGTATCAATGGTTGAAGAGTATGCAGCATAGTTTTTGGGAGGTTTAAATAAACTGACTTCTTGTGCAAGTAAACACAATATTCAAAAGGCAATGCTGCTGAATCACAAAATTGAACAGAACTGATCTAGTCTCCACCATCGAGCCGATAATCGAACCGAATTGGGAGAGGATCAGCAGTGAATCTGAACTTGAATTTTTACAAGGAAAACTTGTTTAGATTTGGCGTCTGTCCCAACGAACACTGATAGTATCTGCAACGTTTGCAACGTCCACAAGTAGGCTTCACAGAGCGTATAAAATATGTAAAGTACTCTCGATCAGCATCAAATAATGCGGCGATTTACTCATGACTGTCTGTCCCGCCTGTATGTATCTGCTTGACCCCAAAACCAAGAAAAGGGCAAGTTGTTGCTCTCAAGTTACTATTAAAAATGGGGCAAAACACGGGAAGGACACGACTGTACTCAGGGAATTTTTTCTTACGGATTTTTTTCTTCACTACTCATAACCAACCTCCCCCGCCTTCTCTTCTCCCGCTCTCTCTCTTCCTCCCCCGTTTTTAGCACTTGCCTGACGCGCTGACCACTAGACCATAAGGCACTTGCATTATATTCTGTTTAAATCTTTAACATACGGTAGAATGCAATCCACTGATAAGCTCTGTTGGATGTAGAACTATTTCAAATTTTCACTTTAAATAAGTATTACGCTGTCCCTCTAGGGATAGTCAGCCATAAGATTTTCAATTTCAGTTCAATTAAATATGTATTTGCTCTTTTATTAAGTAAGCTTCGTGCATAAATAATAAAATGTAGAAAACGGGGCATTATTCATTTTGCAATCAAATAAATAAATGCACAGTCTTGTGGAAAAAATCACATTCAAGGTTAAACGCTTTAATATACTTTTGCAAACATAACATAGCAATGCACCATGAGGGTTGGAAGGGTGATGAATTTAATTAAAGGAAACGTTTCCGAGCCATGCACAAGAACGAGACATAAGAAATTAAAGGAGACGAGCCCCTCTAAGACTTGTGGCTTCAACAAAAAAAAAGAAAGGAAAAATGCAAGAAGAGAATTATTAAAAACATAATGATGACCTTAGAGCGAGGACTGATTTGGATTTCATACGGATTGTATTTGAAACTTTTTTGTAAAAGTTTTATCTCCCTATGAATAGGTCCAATGTTTATCGTAGAGAGCGCAACATAAGATGCGAAGCGTATTGAACACTTTGATGAAATATTTTATACTTTCGTGTGTAAAATTTGTAATTTGCGTAAACACTTAACACTTTCGTATTATAACATACAGCAAAATTTTATGGGTTTATTTATTTACTTTTATTTATTTATTTATTTATTTACCGTCATGGTCTACATTCAACTCGATGGCATTGCCCAGAAACGGTAACGATGATGGTCCAGGAATTTTCTCAATTAATCTTACGAGGCGAGCGCGACGTTTATTGTAAATCACCAAAAATACAATTAAAGCGGCCGTTAAGAAAACAGTTATGGGCGAATAGCCGGAAATGAATTTTACGGTCTTCGTTAACAAAACACTTTCTGCTATTAAATTAGTTATGATCTTCCCAGACATACTTGATTTAATTTTCTTTTCTTTTTTTTTTGCAAGAATTTTTCAGTTAAAAAAAAAGAAATATTTTATTTTGTTTATTTAATTTTAATTTAATTCTTGAGCGTCCGTTAAATTTGAAAATGATATTGGCTTACCGCCAGATCAATCTCTACCGAGTTGTTTCAGTAGCTCTGGTCGGATGTCAACTAACACCAGCTCCGCGATTGCATAAAAATTTAAAAAGAAGTTTTAAGAGAATGAGAAAAAATTAATCGGCATAATTCAGTTGTTTAAGATTTTTGTTTTTTTTTGTTTTTTTTGTTTTTTTTTTTTTTTTTTTTTTAGTATTGAAATTCACAAAAATTGTATGCGACTAGCGTTGTACGATGGATGCTGTTATAACGCTGGTGTACAATTATTTAAGCGTTAACTAAAAATCTAAGCAAACCGCACAACTCACTCGCACAACACTAAACAACAAAAGAATCAAAATACAATATGTGCACAAACAAACTGGCTCCGGATGTAAAAACTCTTTGTTTCGCTTCATTATTATAGCGGCCGTTCGTTTGTGCTCCAAACACAAGCACTTTGTTGATGAATTACATCTTATGCTTCCCGCAAAGCAAAACTAAATGCTTCTATTTTTCCAATTTTCGATACATTCACGATGATTTCATTAATTTCATCAAAACTCATTCGTTGTGACTTTGGAACAAAAAAAAAACCCTTAAGACTTCCAGCAAAGAAAACCTCTCATGACTGCATTACATTAGAAGGGAACCCATAATCCATATAGAGCTGAGAGTTGGCATCTGTCATTGACTTCAAAAGTGGCCAGAGTTCGCTAGCGGTTAAACTCTCGAAGAACCGCTTAAAATCAGTCTTCAATTCAAAAACCTTCGGTGTGAGCGAAGGAACTCGTAGAGAGTCGTGCATTGCCACATGTTGTTCGTTTCAAAAGCGACCGCCGTTCACTAGGGATCAAATTCATGAAAAATCGTTTAAAGTTGGTCCTTGATTGAATTCGGTGCTAGCGGGAACTATTAATACGTATTTCAGAGGATGGATCCCATGCTTACGTATTCTCTTAACTAATTCTTGGATGTAGTCGTTCGACTTCCTCGCGCCCTATTGAAGCTCTTAACTTCTATTGCTGCAAATGATTCAAAATAATTCAGAGGATGCGCAGTTCACGGCGGAATGAAAAGAAAAATTTTACGTGAACTCAACTTCCTGGCCTTCACAAATTTAGTCGCCATTTTTTCAATATCTCGGCTCTTGTTTATTTCCTATTATACGGTACTTTTCTCATAGAGCGACTTGCCAAGAACTTCAAACTACGGTTCAGTTGCCGTAATGCCTCCATTACTCAATCTCTGTCCTTTTTCCTGAAGAGCGGCAAAGCGGCGGGTGGAGCATTTATTTTTAAATTTTCTTTTACTAAAATAATTTGCTTCAAATAATTATTAATCAATGTTGACAAATGTCTACAGCGTGATTGTCAAAATTTTATTTATTTATGTGATTCTTCAAATCTTATTAAAAATCACTATAAATCCGTACGCATTTAATGAAGGCGAAGACCAAATATCATAAATCTTTTACTAATGAGATGAAACCGTTTACGATAAGAAATTCCAGCTCTGTTGTGTGGTTAACGTGACTTAATTAATTGTTTACTGCCACTAAATGGGTGACGTGCTTCATATGTTAGACCCATTAAGTAAATGAAAAAAACAATAATAATTTTTATACCCTTTTTTTCATTCAAGTGTGAACGTACGCTGGGTATGATTAATGCAATATAAACGAAACAATTGTTTTAGATTTTATTTTAATTTTTCTTTTATAACACAATAGACAGCTTTTATAAAGATTACTTTATTATCCCTTATGCTTTGCCTTGCATATCAATTATTTGCTTAATTTTATTTTTATATTTAATGCAAAATTGAAATAGAGTTAGATTATCTAAAGCGTAGGATGTCTATGAAGAGCCTTTAAGCTTAAACTTTTTCTAATAACAACAGATATTAATTATGTGATGAACACTTTCGCAAACACTTTACTTTTTATTGCTTACAGTACTTTTTTTTCCGTACAGCATTTGTGATACAAGAGTGTGGTAAGTGCGTGTGGATGTATGCAATACCCAAAAGGCCTTGGGTATTGGCTTACCTTTTAGTATGCTGATCGAAACCGAACCATTTTCCGAATCGAGCTAAGCTTGTCTGTCCGTCTTGTCTTCTTGCGTCCAATAGACCGCACTTTTTGCGATATGTCGATGAAATTTGATACACCGGCGCACTTTAGGCGAATGATGGAACCAGTTTTTCGAACGCTCACCGTAGAAAGTCGTATTATGGAAAATCGGTAGTAAGACATTTAAAAGCCTGTTGTTACTTGTTATTGATAAAACGAACAATTATTAGAGGTCCTTACCTGAGACTATTTGGCTACTAAGTGGGCTGAAATCGTAATCAACACATTGTCTTCTTAATGCTTAAGTTAAACGACACCACACATGTATGACAAATGATTAAAGCTTAGAAGGCAATCCTGGTGGAGATCCTAAAGCCTTCTTCTTATGTATGTTTGAACATAGAGCACGCGTTGTTTTGCTGCAGCAAAAATTATATAAAAATATTTAAGCGGATAATGCGCGCCGCATATATATATTCATTCATTGATTGTGTGCAGCGCTTATGTCCGTTTCCATGCGCGGGTTCGAATCCCGTAGCTACTCAACATTTTTTTTCTTTTTTTTTTAATTTCTGCTTACACGTTAAATGCTTACATTATAAATAAATGGCGCGAAGCAGTTACTCAATTCGTTTGCAAACACATTGGATGCTTCATCAAGGAATGATAGTTTTCGTCATATATCCATAACATAGAAAAAAAAACTTTTTTTTTTGGATTTTATAATCTTTCATTTTAGAAAATTATTTCAATTAATTTGTTTATAAACAATAAACAATATTTCAGAGAATATTGACCGCCAAAAAGGTCATCATATATATCTCTTTTTTAGATATCTACTGATAAAAAAACTTGGCTGAAATTAATTAATTTGCCTTTTCAATAAAACAATCAATGAATGGCTAACAAAAGAAAAAATTTAAATTATTCGCGAAATAAACAAAAAAAAAAAAAAAAAAGAAATAAATATATTAATAAAAAACATAACGTTACTTTTAAGGCGGAAATAAACTTGGCCTTTATCGGTGAAAACTAAGTGGGTAAATAAAAATTAATTTATTATAACCAACCAACTCAAAAGTTCAAAAAGAAAACGCAAGAAAAAATTAAAAAATGCAAAAGTTTAACATAATAATACAATAACAAATATCTAAATTGAACATGAAACGGCAAACACATACCTGTAACCATATATACATACATACATACATACATACATAAGAAATATATCTTTTTGATTATAATCCAAACGAACATAACGTAAGAGGAAACTATAATCTTCATTTTAAAGCGAATATTGAACACCCATCACCACCAGCTGAGTTTAAAACGAACACAGTCTGCTCTCCCGTTTCTAAATTGCAGAAAACCTACATAAACAATGCATAACGAAAGATAGTTTATGAATATATGTTATTTTTATAAAATATATTCTTGAAAGTTGTTTGATCTGCGCAAGTGATTAGCGGACCGCACTTGTGTAAAAACATGTAAAAGCCGGGAAATCTCTTGATGCGAAATATAATGTGTTTAATGAGAGAGTGCAGCGATGCGTATCGACAAACCAAACGCAGTCACTTGGACTGGGCCGATTATGTGTTCCTAACATAAGGAGGGAGATGAATGCAATTAATAAAATCCACGCAAGTCATCTGCAGATGGTTCTCAAAACTGAAGCGAATTAAACTTTGTGTCATCATGTCCAGAAAGTCCCTAAAAATAATTGCAAAGTCTCTGCCCCTTCTTTTTCCAACAATATTCCTAAAATTATATTTATTACTTAATGTCGGGACGGCGCGAACGCCATTCCCGGCTACCAAAAATTACACGCACGAGTTATTCGCATTAGGAATAATCGCGGAGGTCAACTCAACCGAAAGTGCAATGGCCAAGCCTCACTCCGGGGGAACCGCCTTCGTGATCACGGTAACCCCTACGCCAGGTAAGTATGCTTTCAGCCGCTATGAAGCTATCATTTGTATCGCAAATTCCATAAACCGATTAAGAATTTTTGTATACACAAGCAAATAAATTATATGTTCTGTACAACATCCAAAGTGTTGTGTGTGTTTGTATGTTTGTGTTGTTTTCACGCTTTCGCTTGCTTTATTTGAGAATATATCTATCGAATGCTTAACACACAAGCATGTATATAGATATGTAAGTCTTTCAAAGAGTTCTTGTCAGAGAGAAGGCTTGACAACGTTTATTTAGGTGATGTGTGAAAATATATGTAATTATTTTTAATTATAATGTAAAATCGAGAGGTATTTTTTATTGTCTGTATTAGTTTTTAATCATTTTCTTTTTTTCGTAATAGATAGTAATAATAATAATAGTAATAATAATAATAATAGTAATGATAATATTTGAATTATTAAGCTGGCCGTCACGTGAGCAACATAGATTTATCCTCGATTTTTTCTTTTCAAATTAAGTTAACAAATGGTGCCATTTCTTCCCTGACATTGCTTGCTGGGATAAACTTCACTGTTCCGAACCGTTTCTCCGGGAAACTTATTTGCATACAGCTTAGTCATTATAGATATTTCAATAGTTTAACTGATATCTATAGTTTAATCTAAATATCGTATGCTTCGAATTCCATCAAACTAACTCTCCTAAGTACCCGCGCTTCGCTTATATCGCATCTTGACAAGCTTTTTATTTTGATTTATCAAAGAAATTTCTTTTAAAAACTCCTTTCTCGACCAATTGCTCGATGGACGTGCAAAGGGAGGGGAAGAAATGTGGAAAGAGATACAGATAGGGTAGTGGCAGACGCAGCCTAATGGGCTTGTGCCCAATCGGCACAAAGTAGGATCAATTTCTGTTCACACTAAACCATCGTTTAGATTGATGAAGACATCCGCAGGTGCTTCTCTTAATGGATATAAACATCTTACTTCCTTTTTCCATGCTCCCAACGCGGCTGACGACACTTTCAACGATTTTCATTTATGACACAACTTAGGAATCTTAAAACCAAGCACATAATATGCTTTGCACAGTGGCTCACTATAGAAGTAAACGGCTTGTATGGAAATCATAAACATTTTTTGAGGATGAACTATGCTAACAACAAATCCTTACGACCTAATGTTCTCGTCAGTCGCGGACATATTGTTCGTGTTCACAAGTTCTCGAAAAAGTATTAGATGCTTTTGAATAAACACTTGACAATTTCCCACGAAGAATTGGATTTTAGTTCGGATATTTTCCGCTAAATTTTAAGTTAATACACATGTATCGCCTTATTCGCGCCTCCATCTGCCACAATCAAATTGAAAATTCTATGACTTTAGTAAAACTTTGTCTATCTTTTGTCTAACCTACGCTTCACTGAATAAATACGACTTGATCGTAGTCTAGATTTAACATAGTATTTCCGACGAGGGACTACATTTCCTTGGCCGCCATTTTCATTGCCATGATTTTTGACTGTTCAAATTTGATAGGCAAGAAATGTAAATTGATTTATTTATGTACCTTCACTAATAACCTACGTCTTTCGCAAATCCAAACCTTGCAAGGAACAGATTCTCCCGGCAGTGAAGCTTAAGTGAATTACAAACGATCTTAGTTTACATTACTTATTACATTCGAATCTTTTTTAATGATGAAATGTTTGCATCACAATATTGGATGTTTATTCTATCTCCTCAAGATGGCTGTAAGCACCAGTCTACTTAATACGTGTACAGTTAACTAAATGGAATAGAAATCCCATTTCAAACTCTTTATTTTGACTCCTTATCAATGTGAAACTTAGTAAATTAGGTTTCTAAATAGAGTTATTTTTTATTACGAGGCTTTTCTTTCCTTGTTAAACCTAGAAGTTAAAACAGTCTCGCAATCCCATTGATAGCCATGGCCATCCGTTCTCTGTGTTTAGTACAGAAACTTTCCTTTAATCATGAATTAAAGTTGTGCAATAGAATTCCTTGTTTTCTCTTCACACATCGACGCTCTCAAGGCAAAATAGTACATTCCTCCTGTCTTTCGCAAAGAGGCTTTTGTACGCCAGGGTTTAATAAACTAAAGATGATCTTTATTCATGATTATCGCAGGTATGAGGCATTCCAACATATTTGTCGTCTAAAAAATTAAACGAATTATTTACAACAAATTTTTGTAATACCTAAACTACTTACCTATGCATGCTTTGCTTTCTCCTTAGCTCTTTTAACATATTTGAAACATTTTCCTTTGTTCTATATGCAGCCAAAGCAGGAAGCAGCAATTTACTTCAAGCAAATGAAAGTTCGCTGGCTTCATCCTTTGTTACCTACACATTCAACAACAGTTTTCATTAAACATTGATATGCATCTTCAATTAGTTCCCAGCTACGATGTCGTCCTTGCAATCATTTCGGTTTTTGGTTAATCTTATGGAGCATTTGTACTTCAATGTGGCTTTTACTCTAAAAATTGGAAGGCAACAGAATAATAGCTCCGAAGGTGTACCAGAAGCTTGAACACTTACTCACACTTGACAAATTCAAAAGTTATTGCTTTTAACATTTTATTTAGTTAATAATTTAGGCAGCAATAGCCTCCTCTTTTTATTGTTCATTTGTATATATTAACACTGTCTTTTTCAAACGCTCACCAACACTGCACGTAAAAGGTCTTGTTATTTACTGTCAAACAATGTTTTAGTGGTTGAAGTCTTTCTCGACCTGCTTTTCGTATATATTCTCTTGAAAAGAAAAGCGCAAAAAAACAACATTTTTTGTTGTCCTTTTTTTAAATATGAAATTTAAAAGAATTAGGCCGAATATTGTATCCTTACGACGCACAATTGTTGATATTTATCCTTATTCCTTTAAACATTGAAAAATGATGGGAAAACACTGCTAGTAACTTATGTGGTCCCACATACATTATGCGTATACAAATCGGCGTGAACTGAATCTGGGGTTAAGGATGTAGAATCCGTCAATCTAGAAGAGAAATTATCTTCCTCATGCATCAATTATCTTCGTCATACACCAAGGCTATTATTATAGATAAATATTTTATAAAACCTCTTATCCTATATAAATATTTGTGGATATTATTTAGTAGAAATATTTTAACATTATTGAATTAAAAACAGTCAGGATAATTCTGAATCAAAAGAATCCTCTATTTAACTGCCTAAAAACATCTAAAATGGGCAACGTAAAATGAATTTTTTCAGAATTTCCTAAGCTGTTAAAGTGAAAAGTGACCTCAAAAAAATTGAATACATATACGGCTAAGCGGCGTAAGTACGGGTTTCTCTCTAAAAAAAAAAAGAAAATTCAAAACAATCCTTTTTAAAAAATAAACACTCCTACAAAAGGCATCGAAACCATGCAAATTATAAATTTTACGCTTCTTGATGCGCCGCTGTGGTCGAGTAAGCAAAAGATCTCGACCAACACTTTAATGGTCGTGGGTTCAAATCTCAACTGCGGTAAAACTTTTTTTTAAAAACCGTTGGCCTTAGATGCTGGCACTTTAACAATTTTTTTGTCAAAATTTATTTCTCTGATTATTTTAATTATAATTATTAACAATCTGGTTAATTAATTAGGATGAAGAGCCGATAGCCTGTGTTGCTAGTGCTCAATGTCTTTTTTTTAGTCTAAGAATTCAATTCATTAGTCTAAAATTAAAATAATAATAAAATAATAATAATAATTAGGATGAAATTTGAAAATAATACTTTAAATGCTTACTACAGAACTTTACACTTATCTGCTTGTCTACACTGACGACCCAATAATAATAAGATCCATATTCTTCGATTTGTGTTCGGAATTCCAAAGATTTACATAAGTATGCAAAGGCCCTTATTCCTAGCTACCAAAATGCCAACATGCCGAGGAAAGAAGAAATTTTGCTACGTTTTTTTAACTGTCAGATGTTTAAAGAGTTCTATCTAAAAGCAAATATAGTTCATTCGTAAGCTTAGATCTAGCACTCTATTCCTAAATTTATACATATATATATATATCTACGATTGAACACAACGTAAATAGTACACAAAATAGCAGATATTTCGCAATAACTTTCGTTCCTGGAATTGTTGATTTTACTGATCCAACCATTAGTTTTATGCAACAGCCGTACTCTTAAATGATTTTCTTAACAAACAAATCTATGTCTGCTTGGGAAAGGAGCTTGAATCAAAGGCTGAAATCAAGTTTTTCGTATTACTTTGACCAAGATATTAAAAATATGTTTTGCAGAACATCTGGCTCCCTGACTTTAAATTAAAGTCTAGGGTTTGAATCAATTTGACTTTCCTCGATATTAGTTTGTATATATTTAAACAAGAAATGGCAAACATGTACATAAATATTATATCGTTTCGATTATAATCGAAGATATGAGGAAACTACTATGTTCGTACAGCCGGAGATAGTTTGCCTGCAGAAAATCTACATAAACAATGCGTAGCGAAATATTGAAGTTTAGTATAAAATTTGTTTCCAGTGTTCTGTGTCGACTTTAACGTACATAATATGTAGAAAACTCCAAGCTAGTAAATATCCTCCCTTCTGATTTAAATTTATTTTAGATGTCGGGACGGCGCGAACGCCATTCCCGGCTACCAAAAATTACACGCACGAGTTATTCGCATTAGGAATAATCGCGGAGGTCAACTCAACCGAAAGTGCAATGGCCAAGCCTCACTCCGGGGGAACCGCCTTCGTGATCACGGTAACCCCTACGCCAGGTAAGTATGCTTTCAGCCGCTATGAAGCTATCATTTGTATCGCAAATTCCATAAACCGATTAAGAATTTTTGTATACACAAGCAAATGAATTATATGTTCTGTACAACATCCATCCAAAGTGTAGTATGTTTTTGTTGTTTTCACTCTTTAGTTTATTTTCCTTGCTCATGTTTTTCAACATGCACATATATGTATACATATGCATATGAATAAAATGGGAGAGAGAGAGAGAGAGAGAGAGAGTTTCAATGAGTTTTTGATAAAGTGAAGGCTTGATAAGCTTTAATTTAAGTGTTGTTTGAAAATATGTACAATTACTTTTAATAATAATAAAAAATCGAGCATTCTTTATTTTGTATAAGAGTTTTTAACTATTTTTTCTTGATAATGAAATAATAATAGTAGCCAGAGAATAGTTTGCAAAACTTCAACGTATTTACAGTAGTTTGTCAATGCATGTGATAAAAGGTTTAAATGTTTTCATAACGGGCGGTGAATTTTTGCTGCTTTGCTACTGCGCCATTGATATATAAGTGCATGATTTTGGATAAATTCTTTGAGTATCTCATATCGGTTTCCGCCACTTTTGCTAAACCACTATGAAAAATTTAACTTTCGCTATGATTTTCAGCTGCATTTGCTGAACGGCTGAATGCGAAAATGAAAGCTAATTATCAATTACATGACTACCCCCTGAATAGAAAAGTGAAAGCGTAATAGAAAAAGAAGAAAGCATTCTACAATTAGTAGAAATTCTAAAATTTACAAAAAATCCTAAAGAGCTTTATTTACAAACGCAAAGTGATTTCGATTTCACTTTCAGTTTTTATTAGTTTATCATTTATCTTCCATCACTACGTTTCCGTACAACTCTGCACAGCGAACTGCATTGGTTTTCAATAGACAATCGCCAGAAATCTCTGGCATTTAGAAACGAGTGGTTTTTGAGAAAAGTAACAAATTTACTTGGGATCTCGGAGTTGTTTTTTTGTAAATATTATTTTAAAAACTTTAATAATATTAATTTTTCAAGAACACATAAAGAAAACAAGGATTCGTGCAGTGGATAGTGAAAGTTACGCAGAATGAAAGAATTATTTGGATTAGGTGCCGTGTTTGTTTTTACATTAGCGGCCGTTATTGGTAAGTGCAAAAAAAAACCAATTAAAAATAAAGCTACTTTTGTGTTTAACATATTTGTGTGTTGTGTGTTTGTTAAGTCTGTCCATCTAGTATATGATATTTTGCGTATTACTATCTTAATAAATGTTTTCGTTTTTCTTTTCTTTTTTTTTTTGGAAATTTTGTGACAATTGTGTATTTTTCTACTTGTTTTCCCAGATGTGGGTGTAACGACGGCTTCACCTTTCGTCGACAATGGCAAGCAATTGCTGGGAGCTAAACAATGCACATGGGGTCCAACGTTTTGGTGCAGCAATTTAAGGTAAGTTATTGCTAACATTTTCATTTTCACAAAGAAAATGCTTCGGTCATTCAATGGCTGCCCCTAACAGCAGCATTGTAGCTGTTGGCATTGTTGCACAATCACACAAGCATTCGATTATATCCAGAATTGTGGGCATGAGTGGAATGCGACAGAAATTGCACGAAAATAATGCATTAAAGTTAAGAGAGACGAGAAAAGAGCAAAAAAGTAAATATAACTTACGAATTTCTTCTTCTTGCTTAATATTTAGAAAATCGTGAATTTTTATTTGGTCTTGTAGCGATATGAGATAAGAAGTGCAGTGAAGTCATTCATTAGGTTTGCTTTATGGGTTTTGGCTTAACAAAATAAAGAAAAAAGAAATATAAAAATTCGCGAGCTGAGATCGAACTTCGTTCTCCCTTACATATTACAGACTTCTCATAAACGAACGCATATTTTGGACTTCAGTTTCTGATCAGCAGGCCATACTTGCTTTAAGATGATGATAGATTGATGACTTACTTGCTTTTAATTCAATTAGCAGCTAAAACGTTTTCTTGCATTTGTTTTTTACTCTGTTTCGTCATTATTGCTCATTTGTATGGTGACTAATGCTGGCACAATTCTATCATTTAGCGATAAATAATGACTGCATTATAGTATAGTTTGCCTTAACAGGCTTTAAGAATTTCAATCAGAATTGAAAAACTGCTTTGTTTATTGAATAGTATAAGTTAACATAAGAACAGATTTTTTTTGCATTCAACGCTCAAAGTGTAACAAAACCATTTTTCCTCCAAACCGAATCATACGATTACTCTTATTCTTTTTTTAATTACTTCTATTTATGCACATAGATATTCACATACAGACACATACATCCAATGTATGATTGCAAGATAAGGCGAAGATTTTGAGATGGAAAAGCTAGGAAGTAGCATAAGTATTAAGTTCGATTCTTACAATAGATCTTTTTCAAGTGGACGTTGAAACTGAACTCTTTCCGTTAAGTTGACCAATGCCGTTAAACGAATATCCGTTATTTACTTTCATCAAGTATGTATGTATGTATGTATGTATGTTGCATTTCCGTAAAGTGATAAATACTCAAATTCCGATTGCACTACACTTTTAAAAGAAATTGTTGGACCTTGCAAGTGAAAGATCAAAGTTGAATGTAATTTCCTTTTCCTTAATAAGTTAAGCACCAGGCGGAATAAATTTTGGTCATAATGTACTTAAAGAGATGTGGTGGCCATAATTTACATAATAAGAAGCGACTTATTTTAAAATCTAAAGGAATAGTTTTAATACGTTTATGTAAACAAAGAGCCTACGTATTTTTATTTTTGCGATTTCGTATACGTGTACATATATGTGTATATATATATTTAGGTATATATATAATTTGTTAATATTTACATTAATATTGATTATAATGGCCATTAGGTTATTTGCTTATAATCAAAGAAATAAATTATAACCGTAAGTTATGAGAGGAAAAATTGAGAAATTTAGAGAGCGAAGACAGTAATTAGATGAGTTCGAAAGTGGTGAAAGGCATGGTAATCGTTGGCATCAAATAAGTTGAGCGTGCTCTTATTTCCGATTTTCGTCGTGGTTCCCTTAAATTTATTGCTCGATTGACTATCTATCAGGGACTCTATAAAGTGCAAATAGCTATTTTCCAGTTTTAGAACTTGATGTAATATGGCCATATCCCTCTATTCGTCCGCATGCTTAGGGTCTTCTAAAACAAAAGCGTAGCCGCAATAGTTGAAATAAAAAGCTCAAATAGAGCAATTTGTTTACGTCTCAAGTTTCAAAACGGCATGATCCGTTCAAGCTAATCCCTAAAACGGACAAAAATGAAACTAATCAATACGGAAGCGGATATTGCTCTACAACTTAAGGAAGCATGTGTCAGAAGTATCTTGGAATGCTGCTTAAACAAAGTTATAGTGGGTGTGATTTAACTCGGATAACGACCGAAACAGGCAAAAACCGAGCGTTTGCAAGTTGTAGTGCATTTAATTAAAAGAAAAGATGCTGATCGACAAGTTGCCACGACCCTACATAAGAAGAAATTTACAATTTGTATGTATTTTTTCGACATATTGGGTGCAAAAGATTTTTGTTAAGCTCAGCGTTACTTTCTAGTATTCTTGAATGCATAACGATGCAGAACAATACATACTCTGATCTTTTAAAGAGCGAACCTCTAGGCTTCTCATGTATGAATATCGTCTCAACATACTGGATATCCAAGTAAAGAGATTTCAATTTTTTCTTTTTTTTTTTCCAATTTATTTTCGCAGCACTGTACAAATAGAAAATTTCTTGCAAAATTCCATTTTAATTTCTTACTTCATGGAGTATTATGATATGTGTGCACGAACTTCGTTCAAGTATATTTTGGTTTTCTCTACTAAAAGAAAAAAATCGTTAATTTTTGGATAAAAATGATACGTTAGCTTAACACACCTTTTTTTAAATAAAAATAGCTTGCAATAGCGTCAACAGAATTTACTGTTTAACCCTTTACGCTTTCATTGCATTTCGGTCAATTTTTCGCATACAATCTCTTGTGTATTGTGCTGTTAAGAAAACATGAGACAAAATATTCAAGAGTTTATCGCAAAAATGTTTATCGCAAGCTTAGTTAAGCCACTTTGTTTTATTTATTGTTATGGTTTGTTGGATAGAACAGTTGTACTTTGTACTTCTTAATGAGAACGCAAAGGCATATCTTCTTATATCATACAAAAAAAAAAATATAAGTTAAACTTTGAAATCCTTTTACAATAAAAGTAAAGTCAGTCAAAAAAATGTATGCAAAGCAAAGTAAATAAGCAAGAAATTAAAAATTGTTCTTGCACTGTCTCTATGAAAAGCCAAAAAACAAAATCAAATCTTAAATAGTTTACAATGTGATACAAAAATCATAAATTCATTTATATGGCCAAGTGATAGTGATCCGTACGTCGTCTCGGATCAAGCTCGACGGTGTTTGTTGCTTAGCATGCTTTTATATATTTTTTAAATATAATATATTATGCGAAGGAAATCAGAACAGCTTGTGTATATCGTTATTATGCATACTCCCTTAAAGGGAAGCAGAAGCCGATTATTCGCAACTACTTTGTTCAATATCGTACGGTCAACGTAGATAACTAATTCGAATTTCAACATTGCGATTGGCCAGCTAAGATGTTTACAAATAAAAGAACAAAGTTTTGCAATTTTCATACGTTTGTTCGAAGCGAGAGATGCATCTCAGAGCAAACAAACAAATTTTAGTTCATTGCTCGTTTGATATTATCAAGAAACGTGGCGATGACTAAATCTTTCTAGTCTAACAAACGTACATTAACGTATGTACTGCTGCTGCTGCTGCTGCTGCTAAACTAGAACTTTTTGAAAATAATAAATTCAATTATTTTGTCTTGTTTTCTTTCCACAATGATATGATACTCGGGACATATTATTGTTACATAATGAGACAGTTCATTGATGTGGACAAAAATTCAATCTAAAAAGACATTTTGATGATATTTTTCTAAAGGAAGTATTTTTCTCGATAAGTAGAATAATTCTAGATAATTAAGAGTGATAGTCAATAGTGGAGTTAGTTCCATGTTAGGTTTAAGCGTTTAGCCTCTACGATGTAGTGAACATATGTTCAAATGTGAACAGTTTAAGTGATTGGAGAGAAAAAACCTTATCAAAGACTGCTTACTTGTAATTTTCCAGAATAACGATGACGATATAACCATGTTTATTATGCCTTTCAAGATTCATAATATATTTTATCTTTCTTTCTTCATTCATATTTACATGAAAATATCCAAGGAGGGTATACCCCCTTTTTGCAAGTTGTTTTAAAAAAAAACAATTATTCGATAGCAAACTTTGCTTATTTTCTTTGTAAACAAAATCTGGGTTAATATACGGCTATAGATAAAAAAATATCATCTTTCAATTACCATCGATCATAACTGCTTCCTCCTTTGCAGATATTCGTAAATGCCACCGTAAGGAACATGGCGTGCCAGAAATTCATTTGTTTTTAGTGTTTAGTAAGCAGAGGTTTTTTTTTTTTTGTTTTAAATTTAATTAATTTCGGTCAATTTATGCTTATCAAGATGAGACGATATCGCTTATCGCTTTGTCAACAAACATTTTTCATGGTTTAGAAGGCTCGGTTTTCTAGCAAGATTTTTCTCTGATTACATTTACATTAGTAAGAATGTGGTGAGAAGTGGGCTGATAAACAAAGGGCAAGTGAAATTTAACTTTGTATTCAAACAAATTTTTTTAGGGACTTGATATCATTTCAGTTATCGAAGCAGTAACGCTTTTTGCTGATTTCTATCCACTTTTTGCTTACACTATTACTTTATTTTATATTAATAATGAATGTTTAGTGCTTCGTGAAGTATTCAAAAATAAGCACTTCATTCTAAATACTAAACCAAAAGAAAAAAAAAATTGAATATTTCTGGTGTTTACACCATTAAAAGCCTACATTTTGTGTAATGTATTATAAAATTTAATTGCTCAAGATATTGTACACAGTTTGAATGCGTAAAAATCGCCTAATCAGTTAGGGGGTCGGGGCTTATAATGAATTAGTACAAGCCATACACAAAAAAAGTCAAAGAAATAAAAATTTCAAATCAAATGTTTTGATGGCAGCATGAAGTAAAAATCATTTCAGTTCCACAAAGGCAATTGCAAGCATCAGATGAGAAACTATTGATACCACCCCTGGTTTAAAGTCATACCCAACGAAGCAATTCATTTTAAATCCAGTTTTTTTTTTTTTCATTTTCTATTTTGCAGCAACGCCAAAGGCTGTAATGCTGTACGCCATTGTATACAGACTGTCTGGGAGACAAATCATGTACCTGCCGATAATGATTCCATTTGTCAGATATGCAAAGATATGGTAACGCAAGCTCGTGATCAGTTGCGCAGTAATGAAACAATGGAAGAGTTGAAGGAAGTCCTCGACGGCTCTTGCAATTTGATACCGATTAAGATTATAAAGAAAGAATGCTGTAAGTTGGCCGATAATTTTATACCCGAATTGGTTGAAGCTCTGTCATCACAAATGAATCCAGATGTAAGCTAATTTCTAATTATATTTAATGGAAAGTTTACTTTAATCATTTAAAATAATTTGTTGAATTTAAATTTTAGCAAGTTTGCTCTGTTGCGGGCCTATGCAATAATCCTGAAATCGATAGATTATTAATGAAGTATTACGGTGCTGCCTTAGAAGGTACACTTAACGAGGAAGGAGAAGACGAAGACGAAAAAGAAAAATTCAAAAAAGTTAATAAGGAGACCAAACTAGTGGTAAAACCACAAAAGCCTACGCTGACTTGTGGTAATTGTCATAATCTTGCATCGTTAATAGTTCAGAAATTCCAATCAAGCAATCGTGACGATATCCTGGAAAATATATTACATCTATGTGGTGAATTGTCTTCATTTTCGGATGCTTGTTCGAGTATAGTTCTCACCTATTTCAATGATATCCACGATCATCTTAGTAGAAATATGGATGCCACTGGTATTTGCCATTTATCAGGGACTTGTGTAGCCAGATATCATCAACACCCTGATGATCCCAAAGAGGAAGAGCCAATCGATTTAATGGCTCCCGGTAATGAGGATGTACCATGCGAATTATGCGAGCAGTTAGTACAACATTTACGTGAAGTTTTGATAGCCAACACAACTGAAATTGAATTCAAACAAGTCCTGGAAGGTTTATGCAATCAGACAAAAGGTTTTCGCAGCGAATGCCTAAGCATAGTTGATCAATATTACGACGTTATTTATAAGAATTTAGTAAATGGCTTGGATGCCAATGGACTCTGCTTTATGATAGGTATTTGCCCAAAAACTTTGAAATCATTGAACGATTACGATATCATGCCGTTATTACCGGCCATACAACCGGCTGAAATTAAAGTAACCATACGTAAAAAATTGGGTGCCAATGAGCCGAAATTCACTCAAGAAGACTTGAAGTCTATGGCTTTGCCCATTGATAAATTGATGGGAGCTGCCAATCCGGGGTTGTTAGTAGAAAATGGAGAATTGTGTACTTTATGTGAATATATATTGCATTTTGTACAGGAGGAATTAGCCACACCTTCGACCGCTGATCAAATTAAAAATACCGTTGATAGCATCTGTAATAAATTGCCGAAAGGCCTGCAAGGCCAATGTCATAATTTTGTTGATATGTATGGTGACGCGGTAATCGCGCTATTAATTCAAGGTTTAGATCCTCGTGAAGTGTGTCCTAAGTTACAAATGTGTCCCCCTAATCATGCAAATCACGAGGATATAGAGGTCTTTGCTCCGATAGCTGTTGAGAAAGCGGAAACCGACAAACCCACATGCCCTTTATGTTTGTTTGCCGTGGAACAAGCCCAAATGAAAATCAAAGAAAATAAGTCAAAGGTAACTTTTGTTTTATATAAGTTTATATTACCTTCGAACTTATTCGATTCTGTTACGTAGAAAAACATTAAAGACGTTTTGGATCATTTGTGTGGACATTTACCTCAAAAACTGAAAACCGAATGCGTCGACTTTGTCGAAACCTATTCTTCCGAGTTAATCGATAAATTGATTTCCGATCTAAAGCCTCAAGAGATTTGTGTGGACTTGAAGCTATGCCCTCAGAGTCACAACTATTTAGAAATTATGGGCCTTAGCTTTGAAGACAGCAGCGAGGAATCTGGTAAGCATTTTTATATTACGTTAAAACATAGAGTAAGGGAGACTTAACTAACTAGTTTTTTTCCTTCTTTTTTTTTACAGACTCCTCCAATAAAGTTGTAGATGATAGCGACGAAATGCCAGTGGGAATTGTTTTCCAATTAAATAATGAAGAAAGCTCTCCAAATTGCTTATTATGCGAAGAATTGGTCAAATTAGCTGAGAAACGTATGCATAAATACACCACAAAGGTAAATTGAATGTAGAGAAAGGCATATAAAAACGAGTAGTGTAACAGTTCTTTGCTTAAAGGATGAAGTCAAAAAAGCTTTAGACGAAAGCTGTGAAAAATTGCACATTGCCAGCTGGAGACCAAAGTGTCATAAGTATGTGGATAAATATGGTGACAAGATTGCTGGAATGATTCTTAAAGAAATGGAACCGAAAGTAATATGCGTCGAGTTGGGTTTGTGCATATTCAGCGAACAAGAAGATCGTAAGTGTTTCCATAGTAATTTCGTAGAATATTTTACTTTATAAGAAGCTACACAAATTAGTTGTGGTCCGTAAACGGATGTTCGATAAGTTAGTTACAGGCTGCAATTTTGCAGATGGTTTAATCGAGAATGTAAAAATAACAAGTACAAGATAGGTAAGCGCCGGCTTTGGCAAAATTCGGCAAATACCACGTTAGCATGAAGAAAAAAGAATTGAATAGTAATATGAACTTGTAGGCCAATAAAGGGACATGGCTATGGTAATCAATAGATCAACCATGTACAATGAGGGCAGGCGGTATTTGTTTAGAGGAAGAAGAAGAGCTTGCAGGTTCGCCTTAACAATTAAACGAGTCTAAATCAAACAATTAATGATTGCACAAAATACGATTGATTCATAGAAGTAATTATTTTCGTTGTCACTTTGCGTTCGGTCTCTCGATCCAGTAAAATGATCTAGCTCGGCGTTTATTATATATTTGATTTTTACAATCTATCTAAGAAGATAATAAGTAAATGTTATAGCAAGATGAGGAAACCAACAGAGGCGATTGCCCCTCAATGAGAACAGTGTGGTAAGTGTAGACTGATATTTGTTTATTTATCTTCTCACTTTATTTTAGTGGAAATCGATGAAGCTCTAAAGTACGATGTATTTGCCGTGCCCAACCATCCAAACATTATTATACAAAATGATCGTTTCGTTGGTATGTTAGCTGATCCATTGCAGATGCCCAAGTCAGCCGATATAATGCAGGAACCACCTACATGTGTTTTGTGCGAATTCGTCATGACTAAACTTGAAATGGATTTGAAAAATAAGACTGAACAGAAGGACATCAAAGATGCTATAGAGAAAGTTTGTCATTCGATGCCGAAAACTGTAATGAAAAGTTGCAATAAATTTGTGGAGGAATATGCTGACGCGGTTTTCGCTCTGCTCACTAAAATGCCACCCAAAGATGTTTGCAAAAGTTTAAAATTGTGTTTATCTAGCAGTTTTGATGACTATTTTATAACTAATGAAATTGTTGAATGTGGAATTTGTTATGGCGCCTCAATGGCTTTGTTGCCCTATTCCAAGCAACATAGCAGCGAACAAAACGAAAATCTTCCGCTCTCTGATTTGATTGCTATAGCATGCGACAATTTGCCGGCTAAATATTATGAGACAGTAAGTAGTCAATGCAGTAGTTAAAAGCTGGTTGAAAGCGAAAGTCAATTCATTGTATGATATATGTATATATAAAAATTAATTTGTTTTTGTTAGTGCTCTCAAATGGTTCACGTCTATGGCAGGAGTATAATGCGTTTGTCAGAACGGGATGAAGCAAATATTTGCGCTGAGATTGGCAAATGTTTTCAAAACGAAAAATCTTCTTCGGCTTTTGTCAAAATCACGGGTAATTTTCCTATTCACTTTCAAATCGATTTAATTCGTACGTTAACGTTATCTGAAATCTTGCAGCCTAAACTTTTAAGTTTTTACATTTGAAAGCCATATATGGATGGAGTTACAAAGAGGCAGGGGTGGAATTCTTAATTAACAGCAAGTTGTGATGACTTTATATATTTTTTTGAAAATATTTTAATCTTACAATTTTTCCAGTTAGCAAATGTGTATTTGTGAGAAGCATCTCTATTACCAAATATAGAAATTTTTATATGGAAAGTTTTATTCTTTCACATATTTTTTTGCGGTTTCACCCATGTTTGTTTAAAAATTTTTACAACTACTCTTTTTTCGATCTTTTTGTATGTAATAATGTATATGTTTGCCTCATATGTTATGTCTAGTTTTTATAAGTCACTGTAAGAAAACCGATTTTTTTGAATTTTGAAAGGCAATTTTATTGAACTTTGCTTTTCATCACTCAACATCACAACAATCAACAACAAATAAATTAATTAAGAAAAAAAAAAAAAAATATATATATATATATTTGTCGCATATTTTTGTTAGCCGTCTATCTATTGAAATGTTTGAGGATACTTTGTTAATAATCAAAGCGGATTACATGCATAGACGTAAACAATTGTTAATATATTTGTTGAAGAACGGTTTTCAGATACAAGGGCAACGTCGTTTATTATTTTCTCCCGAATTGGCCGCGGCATTCTATGATGATTTGGTCGATAGCCCCAATTTTATGATGTACGTAATTCTATTATCGAAAGGAAATTCAGAGGCTTATATATTGGCTAAAAATAATGCTGCGCAAGATTTATTAAATATAATGACTTGCTATTTGTAAGTAATTACACTTTGAGCAATCAATAAATTTCATTTATAATACATAATTTCAAGTGGCACTTCCGCGGAATTGGATTGTAACGTCCATGTAACTACCTGTCATCTCAAAGTCCAACGTGAAATAAGTTTCATTTTTCCCAATTGTAATTGCTTTAAATTCTGTTGATGATTGATGAAATCAAATTGTTTCCTTATGACAGATATTTATGAACCAATTTATTGCCCGGAAAAATTGGCATTTGGTACAAGAAATCCTATCATTAAACCGTTACTCCAAAAATTGTACGACATAACAACAGAAACCGAACCAGATCATAATAAAGTATGGAAAGTTCAAGTGGCCGATTACCTTAACAGTTCCAATAAAAATTTGCCAAGGATTTCGAATCTCGGTATTCGCACCACTCTACGCAATGTGCAAGAAAGAGCCCAACAAACCAAATTCACAACGTTTAAACAATTTAAAGTCCATCCGGGCTTGGACAGAGGAAGCGCCGCCACATTAAAAAGTCAGATCAGTGGAGGCTCCTCTGTGCACATAAGCACATCGTCATGTGTCTCTTGTTCGGATTTTGGAAGTACTGATGAACGAATACGGCACATCCATCGTAAAGAACCCTTAACTGATCTAATTAAAAAGAAGACAGCTCCGTTGACACCCAGTAGTGGCGCTCTATCGGAAACTGAGAAGGAGGAGCAGGAAGAAGGCAAAACACGAAAATTATTTCGTGATGTTCAAATGGATGTAATGAAGCAGGTCGATGTAATAAGACAAATGCTTGCAATGGGCGCTTCAAAAGAAGAGGCAGTGTTGGAAGGGGAAGTTATAGAACAGGAGTTAATAGAAGAGGAAGTCATAAAAGCCGATTTACATACACTGGAAATAGCGAAATCCGCACTAGAAGAGGTTTCTGAAAAACCTGAACTTGCAGAAGCTGTTGAAGCCGTCCGTTCCGATAAGGGTATCGCCGAGAAACCTGGAAACGGAGAGCCCGTAGTCGAACAAGCTGCGGTCGAAGGCGAACAACCTGTAATCGATAAACCTGCAGACGAAGAACCTGTTGTCCTAGAGCATGTAGTCGAGCAACCGGCAGGTGGAGAATCTGCAGTGGAAGAACCTGCATCCAAAGAACTTGCAGCGGAAGATGTACATCCTGGTCCCGAAGAGCGTGCAGCCGAAGAACCTGTTGCTGTTGCAGGCCCGCAAGAACAAGAGCATGCTGAAGAGGCTCCTGTTGAAGAATAATCGTATTCGCCGTACTTTCTTCATTTTTAGGTTGATAGAGATGTTGTGCCTTATATTTTATAAAATGTACTAACTGCAATAAAACTTGGTAACACGGTTGTAATTGTATTTTTTATGGTCGTCACAGAAGGCGGGGTGTAACAGTTTTTTTATTTTGCTTGCAAATAGCGTGTGTGTAATTCGATAGCGCAGTGTCGTCTTCACTGTTGTTATTTATTTAGGATAAACTTTTGTTGCTATAGGTATTTGGGTTGAAGACTACAGCTTCAGCTGTGGTGCGAATTTTCCTCTGACAATGAAAAGAAAGGAAAGTTTCAAATGCTAAATTTTTCTTAATTTGTGTGCACATATTTTCCACGATTGTAATATGCAACATTTCTCGTGTGAGTCGAGACGAAATCCGAACCCCCTTCTCCTATGTTCATAATAGGAATCCAGACTATCTAGGCTCACTTTTATTTATTTGTTTGCTTTTCGTCCAGTCCGTATAATGGAACTTACGGGAAAGTAAGATCTTGCATGAGATCAAAGTCTAATGTTGAGTACTGCTTTAACAAGCAGTCTAATTTTTGCTAAACTTAGGCCAGGTGAGTTAACGCACTGGATCCTCTTCCGTGCAAAGGCTCTCCCAAATATTATGCCTTTAGATGGGAACAAAGTACAATGTTTGGTATTTTATCGCGAAAATAGATGAAGAATTTTACTGGACGATATGGCAGAGGGCTCCGTCCTGGTATGTTAAAATGTTATTACTTGTACTTCTCATATAATTGAATGAAAAAACGAATAATTCAAAGAAAAAAATGTTATTTATACATTATTCAGGTTGTCGTGTTGACGTGTGAAGGGTTCAAATATAAAATTTATTTAAAGAGGTGTTTAACTAAAATTGCTGCGTATTTTATTATCGCTAAATCTAACGAGAGACATGTTCGAGAATACTCTGCTGATAATCAAAGCAGATTATATGCACAAACGTAAAATTTTGCTGAAATATTTGTTGAGGCGTGGTTTTCAGATGCAAGGTCAGCGCCATTTGTCATTTACCGTGGAAGAGGCTGCAGAATTCTACGCTGACTTAGTGGATACTCCTTATTTTATGATGCAAGTAATGTTATTGTCCAAAGGAAACTCTGAGGCATACATAATGGCCAAGAAGAATGCAGTAGAAGATATGTTGAACATATTGGTTTGCTATTTGTAAGTGCCCATAACCTCAAAGACACTTTTTGAAATGCATTTAATTAGTAATTCTCAACTTGTATGTATAATGCGCGGATTGAAGCGGGTCTTCCATAGAAATGGATCGCTATATTCATATAACAACTTGTTCTCGTAAAACCCAAAGGGAAATAAGTTACATTTTTCCCAATTGTAAGTAACTTCGCCATTATTATGCACTTTCATTAAGGCATCGTTCCATTAATTTTTCTCTTCCTTCTCGTAACAGATATTCATGAATCCATTTTTCCTTTAGAGCAAATAAAATTTTGCACTAAAGCGCATGTAATTGGGCCTATGATTCATGAATTGTATGATATTGTAACTCAAAAAGATGATAAAGATGCTAATAAGACTTGGAAAATGAAACTTGCAGAGGCATTGGAATCAAGTCATGCTGGCTTGCCACAAATTTCAAATGTTTGCAATTACAGTCCGTCACTGAATATGTTGGGAAAAGCCGTTCAAACTAAAGCAACAAGCTTTAAGCCAATCAGACTGCATCCCGGGGCAGGCACCGGTAGTACAGCCACATTAAAGAGTCATGTAATTTCATATACAACGCAAGCCACTACTTTCGATTCGAGCAGTTCTTCGTGTATCTCTTGTACCAGCTTCGAAAGTATTGAGACTTGCATGCGACAGAGTTATCGCAAAGCGCCATTAGTTGATCTAGTCAAAGCGAAAACAGCTCCTTTAGAAATCTGTGGATCGGAAAGGGAATTACAAAAAATTGAGATGGGAGAGGAGAAGCGGATTGAAATGGAGATGTTAGAAGAAGCCGAGATGAAATCAATTGGCGAAGAGGAATCTACGCATGAGCAAGACGTTTTTAGTATAGAAATATCTTCTGCTTCTAGTATGGAGATATCTTCTGGAGAAGGGGCTGCCGTCGAAGATTCTGTTGGCAAAGAGCTCGTAGCCGGGGAAAGTATTGTTGCAGAATCTACTGCCTCAGCGGCTACTATCGAAGATACAAATGGCATAGAAGCACGTGCCGAGAAGTCTGCTGCCGCCCTAGCCGTTATCGGAAAAGATGATACCGAAGGAATGGTAACAGCCTGCGCAGTTACCTAGGAATCTGCTGCTGTTGGAAATATTGGCGAGGAACCAGCAGCCGATAACCCTATTGTTGAACAGCCTGTTACCAAAGGCCTTATTACGGAGGAACCTGTTGCCGAAAAACAAGTTGTCGCAGTGCCTTCTGCTGTCCTGTCTGAACCTGTCACTACAGACGGAGACCACGCCTTCAACGAGGAAAACCAAATACCGCAAGAGGTAACTGAACAAGAACTCGCCGAATAAACAGTTGCTGACTAATGTTTTGCCTAGCGGTTTTTCATTCGCCCAATGAATATTTATTTTGTATGTATTCTTTTCATATATAATAACAGCCACTTGCGAAACCTTCCCGAAAACTTTATCTACAATTATCACTATATTAATGTCAATAAACTTTTAATATTTATAGAAGGTTGCAGTGTTTTTCAGAAATGTCCCATATTGGGTGAAAAATGGTACGAACGATTGTCAAAGATTGCGGGTGCATCGGCTCTGCCGATCTTTCATTTGTTGTAAAATTATAATTTGCCAATTGCCTACGAATATCAAAGTGGGCGTTGCAGAAGTATATATATATGTTCTTTAAAAAACATACACACAATTACTTGGCTTGGTGTACAATTCTTCACTTATATCCGTTATGCATTAGACCTCCTTGTCATATAAATGCTTATTTTTCATGAGAGTTTTCTATTCTATTCCATCATCATTCTTGATGAATCACACCGAAAAACTAAGGCGTGTATACACGCGAGTATCATGAATTCCTACTTACTTTAGAGCAGATGCCTATCATCGTAGTCCATCGATTATAAATTGTGAATGTATGGAGTTTCTTTCTACTCAGTTTCGTTTTTGTTAACAAATCAGCTTTGGTTTAATTGTTTGGAAAATTATTTACTGTTCAGGTGTTTTTCTGGTAGTACAATATTTTCCAACTTACATCTCTGTTTCTAGTGACTAATTAGATTAGCCGGATAAAACTTTTTATGTATTAATTTAATTTTTCTTAACTGTATTCAAAAAAATTTAAGTTTTCCTTAAGACTTTTTTCATCCATACTTACGATAGGAATAAAAATTATGAATTGCGGTTTTTGTCATGAAAATAACATCGGTCCACGAATAGCTCCTTTTGGGGGCTTCATATGCTCCAATGACCATTTACAGTGTTCAAAATGCAATCAGAAAAATTACGGTCAATGTGGCATTTGCGATAATATGACCAGTTTTGTGCAGATGAAAATGGCTGCGCCAACACATCATTTGGCTATAATTCAGGCAAAAATTGCCGATTTGGCTATCAATCAGCCACCCTCTGCTCCGCCCATGAACTCAAGTTCTACAGCAAACGAAATGTTTACCTCGAAAACTCCGTTTGTCGAAATCATAAGACATCCACCCTCGCACACGAGCCGTCAAGATACCCAAGTATTCGATGGCGAGAAGCAAAACGGGGGCGAAAAGTTGCCCCCATCGACGGGCCAAAATGTCGTTAAAATTGCAATAAAAGACGAGCCAGATACCTCGTCGATCGTATCTCAAAACAGCTGCAGAAAAACTTTTGCATTTATCCCGGAGTGTGATAGTGATGCAATCGCCAAGTTGGAGGGCGATTGCAAGTCAATTGAAACATTTGCCTATATACCGGATAATAATATTGAGACACAGATGGGCATTAGCAATAAGGCAAGAGAACAAGATAAAGAGACGATAAATCATCCTCATCGCCCAGTTCGGGACGGCTATACAACTAGTGAGAGCACGCAACGAATGAATATTTTTGTATTGGACGATGTAGGTATATAGTCTTATCTTTGGCTTAGATATCTCAGAAACACTCATTAGTCTATTTTTGGTTGTAGGAGCTTGAAGATGCCATCATTGACACTTCGGAAATACGTTTTATGGACTCGGCGGAGAGTCTAAAAAGTCTCTATCCAACCGGTATTTCGCAATGTACGAAAAATTCAATAGGATGTGAAACCACAAACTCGCATATATCCAATAAAAGTTACGATTATGATCACCGGGCGGCAGATGGTTTATCGACGAAAGCATTACTCGATTTTGAGGCTCAAAATACTGCGAAAAGCGGCGAAGTTGTTGAGAATTATTTGCGCTCATATGGTCCCATGACATATTCCAAATATCCCATTTGTAATTGTCAAAATGTTCAATGCGATCTTAATGCGAGAATGCAGTGGACGGAGAAAACAGCACAAGACGGTGCAGTCAGACAGATGAAGTCAGCTTGCGTTTCTACCGAATCAGATCCCAGTTTGAGATCAGCAAATGTACGTCCGCCGCTTGAAGTAATTGAAGTAACATTGCCAGCGAAATTTCCAGCGCAAGAATTTCTCGTGATGCGTACGATGGGTGTCACAAAGCCTGACTCTGATGTATTGTCGCAAACGGGTAAAACTGGACGACCTAATTTAGATATGCGCATGCAAAAGATTTTGGAAACATTTCAAGAAGATCCACATCTTAAGCTAAAGGAAAGTGACAAACATGCTAAGGGAAACCTCATAAAAGTGCCTGCATCAAGTGTGCAAGCTAAGCCACCAGCTCAAATAAGTTATGAAGCGAAGCCACCTATAACAGATTCGCAAAATCAGATCTCTTACGAACTGACTGAATCCGCTGGCCAAATGAATTTGCTTGAAAAGAATTCTGTGCTGCTTATGCATCTTCCAAATGTGCACAGAGCCTACTACAATCCAAGCTTGCCATTAGTTGTACAGTCATGCAATCGGGAATTGAGTCCTCAAGATCCGCCTCACCCGCAATATCAACTTATTACTTGTTCTGCGGCCGTAGCCCAAGAGCTGTTAAACGTAAAGGCACGATTTTTGAGTACAAAACCGGTGCCAGCTAGCTTAGTGAATATACTGCGAACACCAATCCGATGCCCCGAGTCTAGTTGCCAACGGATGACCTTTGTTTCCGATCTCAATAAGCATTTGGTAATCGATCACAATTACCTACCTATGGAACGTATAACACCTTTTCAAGCGAAGAGTTTCTTCCTCGATCCCCGAATATCTCGTTGCGGTACTACCAAAAGTCACATATTGTATTTGTTGCGCGATAAAATTACTGATTTGGGGGTCAGTAAGTATAAAGATTTCCTACCGCTGGTAGTCATGAGTTCACGAATAAACCTAGCACAAATTTGTTCGCTAAATGAAAATGAGCATGGCGAGCATATTGACATTGCTAGGTCTACCGAGTTCCTTCTAATTTGGCTTACTGGTATAGCACCGGAGGATTCTCCCATTTCGGTTAGCTTAAGACTAATGTGTTAATCAAATCTATATTATAATTTTCTGTATTAGGTTAGCGTTACGGTTTGGGCGAATTCGGGCGAAACCCCAAAATGTCATTTAGTGTATTCAGGGGAATTGTATCCGATACGAAATTCCCAAAAGGGCATTGATGTTTTTAAAAGTGGTAACATGCTGATGTTGACCGCTTTGCAACTGGATCTGCTGACTGAAGGAGGGACGCAAATGATTAACGCACAGATCGTTGTCCACTAAGCTAATCGACATTGGATAAAAATCATAGCCGCTGAATGTAGAAGAGAAGAAGTAAGTACTTTTCTTCGCCTCTTTTTTGTTCTCGAACCCATGCGTCTTCTTTCTCTCCCCCCTCCCTTTAGATAAATATGGAATTCCGAGCTCGGCTAGATTTGAATGAACGATGATATTTTGGCATAAAAAGAAATCTTTAATGTTTTGGATGTTCAAACTCTCGTGTTTTTATATATATGTGTATATTTATCTATGTACTATCTTTCATAAATTATAAATCAATTCAACTTAGATTCATTGAAGTAACTTAAAAACCGTAATAGGGTCATAGAAAAAGCATAGAAAATATGCTTTCAGAAAACACTATCAGGCAGTGAATGCAAATTAATGGAAGCGGGGCATCATGAGCGCTGGTATGTGCGCCATCAGCATTATTTATCTAATTGAATTCTAATGGCCACTGGGAATGGAGACGTAAAATTAAAAAAATGGTTCAATCGTTTAAAATTGTTAGAAAAACCCTAAGGCCCAATTCAAGATCGGGGCAAAACATACAATTGTACTCTAGACCAATTATGACAACAATATATTATTATGTTTGCGCAGATGTAAGTGCCGTTGAGAGAAGTTTAAAATCGATTTCAATATCGGGGTAATTAGAAGCAAAGTCCTTCAAAAAGTCGTTGTCCTTTGGATGAAATGCCAAATAGTTTTATGGAATTCTTGACATTACATTATATGCAAAGGTCATTTTGCCAGTTTAAAATGGTCGGCCTTACCTGACTAGAACGTTTTACCTCTTCTTGCCACACTGTCCGTACAGGAAAGTACAAATTTCAACGTTTTTGCTTATGATTATCTAAGATCAAGTTAAGATGTTAAATAAAAAGAAGAAGAAGAAAACGTAACGAAATCGGATTAAAATACAATATTTGAAAAGGTAGTCTTAGACAACGTTTGAAATATTTTAAAACTTAGATGGCGGCATAAGTCGAAAAAGTGAAAATCATATGTAAAAATGCTTCGTTTTCCTTATTGGGTTAAATTTGTTAACAGCATAAGTAAAATTTGTAAAAGTTGTTAAATTCAAATTGTTACACGTATTCCATTAGTGCTAAATTTCTTGCGATGTGGGAGAATACTTTATTAATAATTAAAGCGAATTATATGCGCAAACGTAAAATTCTTTTGAAATATTTATTGCAGCGTGGCTTCCAAATGCAAGGATCGCGAAGTTTGTTATTTTCTCCTGAACACGCTGCCGAATTCTATAAAGATAGGACGGACGACACTGACTTTATGGTTTTGGTGATCTTATTGTCTAAAGGCATTTCGGAGGCTTTTGTGCTAGCTAAGGACAACGCTGTGCGGGATTTGGGTGATATTATGTGTTGTTACTTGTAAGCACCCATGCACTCTACATTGCCACCCATTATCCCAGCTCTTGCTAATAATGATTCGTATACATTTTGTGTGATTCCAGCGGTTCTTCCAGTGAAATGGAACGTATGATTCATGTTACAATGTGTCCCCATAAAGCTCAACGTGAAATCAGATACATATTTCCGAACTGTAAGTAATTTCTATATAGGTTTCTAATATTTAATTTATGCATTCCTTCCTTCATATTAGATATTCACGATCCAATTTATTGCCCCGAACATTTAAAATGCTGTAACGACGAATCTTTAATGAGACCCATGATCAGTAAATTATATGATATCATAAAGGAAGATGATGGGAAAAGCTTTAAAGTATCCTGGAAAACACAACTAACTGACGAACTAATGTCAAATCATGAAACTGTAGGAACAATTACAAATATCTCCTCTTACAATCCAAAAGGCATTGCTGAGACTACACAGACTAAGGAAACATCTCTTAAATGGGAAGACGAACGTCATACATTATTAGAAACATTATCAGTCTCATCCGGCTTAAGTGTTAGTACTTCGTCTTGTTTATCTTGTTCGCCCTTTGGAGATGACGAGAAATATGCGAAACAATTTCATCGCAAGACATCGTTGGTTGATTTGATTAAAGCTAAGACAACCCCGTTGAAACTACCTAGCAGTAGCAGAAGTACTTCTTCAATGAAACCAATCCGTAGAAAAGTCCAACGCAAAGAAAGGAAAGTAACGGACGCTTCGCACTTTAGTTTGGACGTTGTAGATGAAGAATCCTTGTCGGACAATGTGGATGCAGATAATTATGGAGATGAACATTACTCCCAATTCGATGCAGAGTCTGAAACCGGAGCACAGTCTGAATTTAAGCGCAAATTGAAATCACAACCTCCTACTGATTTGCAAGGTGGCACTAAGGCAAAAGCAAAGAGTGAATTGGACGGGAAAGCTCAATTTGAACCCATGCATAAATCTGCGTCTGAAGCTCAATCTGAACTTCGGCCCGAACCTCGATCTGAGATTCGGCTAGAAGGTAAGACTGAACTCGAGGAAGAAATTCAATCGGAACCTGAGCATGTATTAAGACCTGAACTAGAGTCTCAACCCCAGCTTGGATTCCAACCGGAGACTGAGCTAGAAGCTGAGTCGGAACTAGTGGAGGAAGTTAAATCGATACCTAAGCATATATCGCGGTCTGAACTACAGTCTCAATCTCAGATTGAATTTCCACCACACTCCCCCCCGGAAGGTAACACTGAACTTGCAGAGGACATTCAATCGGAGTCGAAGCATGCACTTGAGGGTGCTCCCATCGAATATCATCTGGACGAAGAAATAACCGACGAAGAGTTCCAGTAGTTAATTGAGAAATAATTTGTCCCTCACTAAGCATCCTAAATAAGCAATAAATTCATCTCTTCGATCTACAGCTTTATTCAGGCTTCTTTAGTATTTTTTCGTGAATTCCTTAAGAGATGCAGCTACTGAGCTACGTCTAGTTTAATATAAATTAGGAAAAGTAGAAGTAGTCGTTTTGCTTCGTATGGCAAATATGTCTTAAAACACGAACCGCATTTAGAGAAACATTTAACCTCTGATCTTCCATAGCATGCTGTACAACTTTTAAAAGACTCGAATGCGAAATATTCAAAAAAGAAAGGTAAAAATTTTCAATGTTGCTCAGCTCAATCGATATTTCAATGGATTAGAAACTATACCTTACGAGAAAAATATTCTTTCGAGCGATCACTTTGCCAGCAAGGTAGTAAACACTGATTATTGCAATAAATAGGACCCGGCTAAAAATACATGCTTAATACGACCGAAAGTGGAAAGAAATTGAAACAACAGAGCAGGTCATCATTGCAAAATGTTTTGATAGTTGGTCAACTGATATGTCCGATATTTTTAAGTAGCTAACTGTAATGCAACATTTCACAAACTAGATCTGTTGCATCTTTTGCCCGAAGGGATATAAGAAAATTACGTAAAAATTTTAAGTAAACAAGAAAACTGCATTTAACACATTCAGAGTGGAAAGCGAAATTTCTTATTAGCGCCTAGTTTTGGACCAAGCGTTAGCTTTCAAAATGAAAAGTGCAAAAATAACGAACACTTAAAACCGAAACATAAACATCTTGTTAGCAATGGTATGCACACCATGCATGTTAAACAGTCGAAGTGAATGATTCGAGAGACAAATAATTTAATTAAAACATTAAATTATATCAAAATGGATTTATTTAACAATTAAGAAAACGAAAAAAAAAAAAAAAAATATATATATATATATATATTAATGACGAAAATATTTTGGATTATAAATGTAAACTAAACGAAACACTATTTCCTACAAGTTAATCAGCGCAAACGCGGAAACACAAGTGAGCGTATTTCGATATGAGCGAATTTTATAGAGTTGGACAAGAGAGGAGACAGTACATAGTACAACAGTGGCAGCATAACCCAGCCATACTGGGCTCGTAAGGTAAGTGGTTTTACAAGATGCGTTATGTTGTTATGTTGCATGGCAGCAAAATGCAGTGTCGTTTCGCGATATGCTCTGGCAGTGATAGCGGTAAAGCGCAATGTTAAGTATCATTTAAGCGTTTGATATATCAGTCAAGACCCATATTTCAAGGCAAATTAATGGCCTGTAAATGTGGGCCGCATTAACAATGGAACTTTTATTTTCAGTGTAAACTTACAAAAAGCATTACAAGTCAACCGTGCGGTTGCTGCTTTTCATCACAAAAAACGCCAAAAAAAAAAAGAAAAATTCTACTCTTTTTACAAAAAAAAAAAAAAAAAAAAAAAAATAAGAAGAAAACATTAAATTAATCCGAACGGATTATGTTTGTGTATGATTCTTGCATATATAAATAAGAAATAAAAATGTGTATATTTTTGTTCTTTCGGAAATGTGAAGAACAAGTTTTCCAATCTTAAAAATCTTAACGTATGTGAATAACGAAAAAATGTATTGAATGTAACCCTTCCCACTCCCCCGCAAGAGCTGATGATGAATAACGTTAACATTGTTAATCATTGTTACGCTTAATTGAATTAAAGTTTAATGTCAACAAGTGATAACAAGGAAGTGAAGGAATTTTTTTTTTTTTTTTTTTTTTTGCAGAGAATGAAAAAATTTTTGTTAAAAAAATTTATCATTAGTATCGGTTGCAATATTGATTTTTCCCAAGGTTGTGAATTGGTCAGTGTTTTTGGGTTTTTCCTTTTTTCGTGCATATACGCTTATATGTATATATATATATATATGTGTGTGTGTATGCGTGTGTGTGTATGTATATGTTCTGATTTTCCGCGAAAATTCATGTTTTTCTTCCATAAACAATTTCATGTATTGTTTTCTCCTTTCTTACTCCACACCTAAATACGTGCAGTCACGTCCACTCGTCTCTCATCTCTCATGTTATGAGCACATATTCTAATCGGCTCTTATTTCAAATAGAATATGATGAGGAGAAATTATAAAAACTTGTTTAAAAGCCGAGAATTGCATTCTTTATCGCATAGCTTTACTATGCATTCTAATTTCAAATTCAATATATTTGACGAGAGAAAGCACACAAAAATTTTCGCTCAATATTTTATTTACTCTTCTCAATTATGCAACAATTTTATGCAGGTCCTTTACCAGGCGGTATCCTAAGTTCATCGAAAATCATGTGACATGCTTAAGACTCCAATCCTAGAGAAACCTAATAAAAGATTTCGTGGTTTGTTGACAAACATGGAAGACTGGGTGCATAAAATATTTAGCTAAAGAGGGATGAGTTCTAAGCTATGCTTGTTAATACGATTTTTTTAAATCAGCAAGTTCATTACGCTAACTGTTGAATCGAACGCCTTCAAAGTATACATTCACTGACGGAAGACTGGCATGTAGCCCTCTCGTTGTTTTCATTCGCAAGTAGAACGAATAGAAATATGCGTTAGATTGAAGAAGACTCTAAAACCAAAGATGTCCAACTGTGGTTTGCTTTGTTCCCAAGATCGTGCCACTATACCTCTTTTTTTTTTTAATCACAAATTACTCATGTGATGCGTGGTGCACGTGTAACACGCTGGTGATCAGAAATTAGTGGGGAAAGAGAGAGGGAATGGCTGATTGCGCGCCGATTCGCTACAGAGTGATTTTAATTTTGGCTTTCTTACGACCAAAAGGATGTCTTCGGCACAATTCAAACTTATTTGTCGGCATAAAATTTTAAAAAACAAAGTTTCTTCCACATATAGAGAAGGTCAAGCGTGTACATCTTATCAAAAGATAACAAAAAATCGATAATACTTCCATTGAAAGTGAAAGGTGTCAAAAGATTCGTGATCGATGCCGCATATAATGAGCCTTTCGTTTTGTTGTTACTTCCAGTGTGTGTATGGATTATTGTCGATACTGAAATTGTACAGTGCGGGTACGTGATGATGTTAACACTGACACATAATGATAATAAAATGAAGCGCCACAATCCATTGCCCTATAAGTGCGATACGCTGTGAAAAAGAATTAGAGATATTTTGCCTTTCTTCCCTAAGAAAAATTTGCGAGAAAAAAAATTAGCCGAATTTTTGTTATTATGTTTACTTAAAAAGCATACAAATCAAAAGCCGAAAAGCATCAGCAATAATAGAATTAGTTATGTTGAATACTACCGGCAATCAGCAGCAACAATCACAACAACAACACCAGCAGCAACAACAACAACAACAACAACAACAACAAACAACGCATCATCTCATCAATTTCAGTACGCAGCATTACGATGCAAATTTGAATTTTGCTACATTTGCTGAACTATGTCGACTATGCTCGATACGTAATGGTCCCGCCAAAATTCACTTATTTGAAAAAGAAGCTGAACAACGTAATTTGATCTACAAATTGCGCTTACTGATGCCGGTTAATGTAAGTTAATTTGTTAGTGCGCTTTCAAGTTGTTGTTGCAACGTTTTCAATTCTTTTTTTTTTTTTTGCAGATAGCTAAAGAGGATTTTTTACCTAAGAATATTTGTGAACATTGCGTGCAAAGAGTGGAAGGTTTATACGAGTGGCGGCAAGCGAGCATACAAAACGAAAATATTTTAAGAAATTATGCCGATTCGATGAGAGCTGTTACCGCCACCATTAATTTTCAAGTAAATATTTTCATTTAATTTTTTAAAGTAATAAGTAATTTATTGTCGGTTCAAGTGCGGTTGTCATGTCTTGCTTCTGATAAGTTTCAAGTCCGAAAACAGGTCTGCTTTACCGAACAATGTTTAAAATAATATTTTTTAAAAGCTTCATGTAATAATACCGTGATTATAAACGTAAGGAAGGATTCCAATTTGATGGCTACAAGGCAATGTCTGATCTGTGAGGCTTAATAAGGCACATTTAAATGATTATTCTGCGCTGAGTTATTATTGTCTCTCTCTCTCTCTCTCTCTCTCTCTCTCCCTGTCTCTCTCTTAGCCTTTTCCCTCGAATATATCATTTACCTCCATTTATTTAATTGAAAAGATTGATTATAAAATACTTGCAAACATAAACAT